TCTGTCTGTCTGTCTGTCTCTCTCTCTCTCTCTCTCTCTCTCTCTCTCTCTCTCTCTCGACAGTTTCACTACGCAGTTCAGGTTTTGTTTTTTGGTTTTTGGTTTTTTTTTTTTTTTACAGAACTGGGGATTGAACTCAGGCCCTTGTGCTTGCCAGAGAAGCGCTCATTCCACTGAGCCATCTCCCTGGCCCCCCCAGGTTTTTTTTTAACTTGCTTTTTAGCCCAGGATGGCCTCAAACTCACAGCAATTCTCCTGCCTCAGGCCCCGTGTGCTGCAATTACAACACGAACCATAGCCCCTTTGGTTTGCTTTTTGAGCTAAGGTCTTGCTGTGTAGTCCAGGCTGGCCCTGAACTCATTATGTAGCCCAGGCTGTTCTCAAAGCAGTGATCTTCCTGCTTCTGATGTGTGGCTCACTCTTCCCTTCCCTCACCACTCAGATTTCTGTGCTCACCTCTGCTCCTCTCTGGAATTCATCACTGTGATGGCATCATTTCCTGACTCTGCCTTCCCTGTCCCCTCTCTCTGTCCCCAGGGCTGTCCCTGCCTCCTCCAACCAGCTGTAGCAGACACTGTTGGGCCTGCACCCCTGGACCAGCCAGAGTGAGGGGCTGTGTCAGACAAGACTTCACCCTGGTGACCACAGCTGTGACCACCTGAGCCCTCCCTTGGATGTCCCTGTCCTCCTGGGCACCCAAGTCCTTGAGGTCATCCATCAGAATGACCTGACTGGGTCACTGAGGATGTCCCCAAGCCCTGCCACCTGCCCCTCCTCCAAGTGCTTGTCCCAAGGGAATCCATGTTATAAGCCCAGGGCCATCAGGCATCCTGGGGCACAGATATCCAGAGAAGGCCTAGGCATCAGAGGATAGCAGTGCCAGGCCCTGGGCCCCAGAGCAGGTGGGATGGGGCACATGGGGACAGCAGAGCCTGGTCACACACACCCAGGCCATGTCCCTGAGATCAGCTGAGGTGCCATAGAGTGGGGACCATGGCAATGGTACCCATCTCATGGGGCTGGGGAGATGGCTCAGTGGAATAAGCACTTCCCTAGCAAGTGCAAGGGCCTGAGTTCGATCCCCAGGTCTGCCAAAAAAAAAAAAAAAAGATACCCATCTCAGTGGGGGAAGAAAGGGCTGCACAGGACCGAGGCGTGGGCACCTGGTGCCATTGGTCCTGTGTTGGTCTAAGAGAGCCTCAGTTTCCCCATTTTTAAGTTGAGATTCAGCACAATTCAGTCCCCCAGGGTGGGAGAGAATTAACTATGATGGTTTCTGTACAGTTGAATCCTGGTGGCTCCCCAGGGACACTGAAATGAATGGCCTCACCCCAGAATGACCTCACAGGGGCCAGGGAGATGGCTCAGTGGAATAAGTGCTTCCCTGGCAAGCACAAGGTTCTGAGTTCAATCCCAGGTTCTGAAAAAAAAACAAAACAAAACAGAATGACCTCACAGCCAGAAATCTCAGCCCAGCATGAAGTGCTCAGGGAGGCTGAGGCAGGAAGATCAGAAGTTAAGCCCAGGGGCCAGGGAGATGGCTCAGTAGAATAAGTGCTTGCCTGGCAAGCACAAAGGCCTGAGTTCAATCCCCGGTTCCTCCCCCC